CATTGAACTGGAGTGAACCTAAGAGCCCCTTGAGCAACTGAGACTCCAAATAGTTGTTCCATCTTGTATTCTAGTTCAGGTTCAATCCCTTCATCTTGAAAAGATTTAAAATTAACATTTTCCTATAATGAGTTTTTTCTAAATTAGAGTTTTGAGTCCAAAAAACTTATCAAATAAGCTATTTACCAAACAGGCTCAATAGCGGATTTGACATGCCAAACCTCTCAAGTAAGTCAAATTCGCTAATTTATCTTCAATCCGCTATCTTCCAAACTGGACTATATGTACAATTATTTTTTCGTGATTAATTTTCATTAACGAGTTATTATTGGCAACACAGGGATTTTTAATTATTGTGCAACTTCTCGAAACGACACATATTATGAACAAGAGGGAGTATATTTTAACTATCATTATCGATTAACATTTTCTATTGTATTTTAATTATAATTTAAATATATTTATTCTTAATCTAAAAATATTTTTAGCACTCTATATTATATTTCTCTTTATCCAACGAAGCAAAATGTTCCAGGAATTCAAGAAATTATTTAGTGTGGCTCTATTCACTCAAGATTTAAACATATGTTAGTCTACTTGAGGAGCCAAACTTAATCAAAAGAATTAAACTTGAAATCCATTATATATTCGTGCATAATATATATTGATAAAAATATCATTTCTTATGTGAAGTTTCCTATATTTTAATTAAGTTAAATAGTTGTCTTATACTATTTTTAAATTACTAGTAAAGTGCACGTGCGATGCACGTGGTGTCAATGATTTTCGCGGAGTAAGTTTGTAAAAAAATTAATTTATTTATTAAACATATCATTGCATAAATAAAGTAAAATATAGAAAAAATGAACTCATATGTGATTTTTTTTTATTTTTATTTAGAATTAACATAATGATGTCCTCATATAAAAATAGTGAAATAACTTTTTACAAACTCCAACAAAAATATATATAAAAAAATAAATTTCTAAGAAAAAAAAACACAGATTTTCTTTCATTTTAATTTTAACGTTCTAATAAGAACATTCATAGTCGTTGGAGTCCAATACGTCAATACTATTGCAAAATTCCTCTTAATTAGTTTGGCAAGATGCCAATTTTATTCAAACACTTAAGAAACATTCTGATCCAACATATAGTCAAACTTCATGATCGTATGATCTTTATAACAAGGTACTTCTACTAACAAAGGATAAATATCTCTATGAAATAACTAACGGTGTCACTAAAATTGCTGATATTTTTTTATCACTGTATAAACCACTACATTCCTCTATCTCTAAATATATTGGTATCTACCCCATTGATGCATCGCCCCACGAGGTGGGAATGATTTTTATCTCCAAATAAAAGTTGACTTTCCAAAATCTTGGTTACATGTACTTCTCCCGAGGTGCTAAATTATTTTTTGAAATCATCATACATTACTTGAAAGTACCTTTAAAGTTTGCACATATGTTCAAGCACAATACACCAATGAGGTTATAAATATTTCTATAAAAAGTGGCAACTTAATTCTAACATTTAAAGCTGTTTTGATAATCCTACATTTCATTTTCAGTGTTATTTATCTAGAATATAGACGAATAATATAATCTATATTTTGCAATGATAAAACAAAACAATAAGAAAATATTGAGAAGCATAATTTGTTAAAATATTTGACAACAGAAGAATTAGAATTCCATTATATGACGATACTTTTAGTCATTTGTAAAGTTTATTATTATGGAGTCATGATTAAACTATACATCATGTATACAAATTTTTAGATTTTTTAGTTATTTAAAATTGAAAATAAATAATATATGATCATTATTAATGAGAACCAATTTCTTACAGAGTCCATATATTTAAACGCTAGCAACAAAAAAAATAGTAATTTTAAAAGACTTTTTTTTTTTGTAAATATTGGTATTCATACTTTTCTAAAAAAAATTAGCATGTTTTCTTTTTCTCATTGCATTACTATTATATTATTTGTTTCTTATTCTATAGACAAATAATATT